ACAGCCTATTACGTTGTGTGTGTTGTAACCAGGATTGTATTTACGTAACCTAAGGTTTAGTAGTATGTTCCATTAGCTAGGCCATCATAAGTTTTTTTTGTTTTTTTTGTAATAATTTTTATTAAGGTTTTAAACAACAACAAAAAGAGAAAAAGAAAAACATACACAATAGATATCACAACAACACACACAAAAAACAACACAAAATTCAACAATAAAGAAAAAAAAATAACAATTAAAAACAATATCTCTTTTCCATTTCCATTTTTAAATTACTTATTTTCTGGACTTCCTCATACCTCCCTCTTTTGTATTCCAATCCAAATTATTTGTCCAGCAGTTTCTTTTCCACTTTTTAATCCCAATCTTTAGTTTAATAAAATATTAAAATATATAACTTCAACTTCTTTAAACCTAATCCTTAATCTTAGTATCATATAACATTAAAATTTTCCCTCTTAGTATCAAATTTCCATTTCTTTAAACATCTTTAATCTTAATCTTTAATCTTAGTCTATCATTAACTTTAACCTGTACAGCTGGAAACCACTTATTTTCAATCCAACATCACTCTAACATTCCTTAATTTTGCAGTGTTTCTGAAGATAGTCTTTAAATTTCTTCCAATCTTCCTCCACCAACTCTTCTCCCTGGTCACGGATTCTACCAGTCATTTCCGCCAATTCCATATAGTCCATAAATTTCATCTGCCATTCCTCCAGCGTGGGAAGTTCTTGTGTCTTCCAATACTTTGCGATGAGTATTCTTGCTGCTGTTGTTGCATACATAAAGAAAGTTCTATCCTTTTTACCACCATTTGGCCGACTATGCCCAGGAGGAAGGCCTCTGGTTTCTTAGGGAAGGTATACTTAAATACCTTTTTTAATTCATTATATATCATTTCCCAGAAAGCCTTAATCTTTGGGCACGTCCACCAAAGGTGAAAGAATGTACCTTCAGTTTTTTACATTTCCAACATTTATTATCGGGCAAATGATAGATTTTCGCAAGCTTGACTGGGGTTATGTACCACCTGTATATCATTTTCATAATATTCTCTCTTAAGGCATTACATGCCGTAAATTTCATACCTGTGGTCCATAACTGTTCCCAGTCAGCAAACATAATATTATGTCCAACGTCCTGTGCCCATTTAATCATAGCCGATTTTACCGTTTCATCCCGAGTATTCCATTTCAGCAGCAAGTTGTACATTCTTGACAAATTCTTAGTTTTGGGTTCTAACAATTCTGTTTCTAATTTAGATCTTTCCACCTAGAAGCCAATTTTCCTGTCCAATTTGAATGCCTCCATTATCTGATAATAATGAAGCCAGTCTCGCACTTTGTTAGGCCATCATAAGTTTGGACAAGGAAACTCTTGAAAGTACAATAAGCTATAGTAGAGGGTCGGTTTGTGGTGCTTTTGTGTATGTTTGCATAAGTCTCATTATCTGCATGCTTACTCATGAGTGAACTCCATTCTGTTTAATGAGGCTTTCCTCATGTGTTTTAGGCTTGCGCTAGTGAGTCATCCTTGTTTTTGGTGCTTGAGCAAGGGCTCGCTGTGTGCGGGCCTGGAGGATCAAGCTGACCCTTGAGATGTGCTCAGAGGGGAGGAGAGCAAGGGCTTGGCTCAGTCAGCTGGCTGGCTGGCTCTTCCTGGCCCTGTCACTCAGCCATCCCCTGGTCCTGATGCCTGGGCATATTTATAGCCATGACCTGTCCCCTCGACTCAGCTGCTGGCTCTCATCTGCGGTGGGAGGGAAGGGAGGGGCCCCCTTCTTAGCCTCTGCCCTCCTCCTCTCCGCTTTTCCTGTGCTTGGTAGGAACCTGTAGCTGCTCCTAGAGCCTGGGAGGCTCTTTGTGTAGAAACTGTCCCCCTCCTGTTGCTGGCAGTGCTGAAAATAGAGAAGGTAGACAATCCCTGGGCTTGTTTGGTTGGGGAGGAAATTGGGGAGTGGGTTCTTGGGGAGTGATTGGGAAGGGGATTAATTGGGCAGGGGGCTGCTTTGGGATACAAAATGTCTTTCTTTCAGTGTGCTGCTTGCTGGGTGTGAGGGGCTATTTTTAGCCAGGTATGAAGAAGGCCTGGAGGAACACGAGGGGCCATCAAATGGCTGGAGCTGATCCCTTCAGCATATGGCTGTGTGTGCGCACACCATAGGATCATATATGTTGAGCAAGACATGATTTAAGTGGGCAGGAATGTTCATTTATTGATTCTCTGAATTATCCATTCATCAGAAGTGAGCTGCCAGGCACTGATGAAACTCTGAGCATCCTGTTAGGTAGGGATGGAAAATTCGTTTTCTGAATATTGATTGTTTTTGCAAAGGTGGCATTGAGGCCCCTTCTGGAACCAAGACGTTTTGAGAAGAGTGCCAGTGTGGTGTAGTTGCTTAGAGTGCCACCAGGGTTCAAATTGCCATGGAGCTCACTGGGTGACCTTGAAGGTCAGCCACACTGAACTCTCTCAGTCCTAACCTACCTCACAGGGTTGTTGTGGAGATTAAATGAGGAGTTCCTTGGGGGGGGGGAGAAGGATAGAAATGCAATAAATACATAATCTAGGAACTGACAAAGATGGAGAGAGCAAGATCTAAAGTGTGAAAATGAAAAAAATAAACCCTGATGCAAGTTTTAATCTGCTTTTACTGTTAACATTGCTTTAACTTTTTGGAAGTCTTAAATTATTGTTGTTAATATTGTTCTTTTCATTGATATTTTTAAGTTGTCTTTTTTTGGAAACTGTTTTGAGGTTGTTGTTTTACAATCAAGCTATGTTTAAATTTTATAAAAATAAAATAAAAATAAAAATCCCAGAAGCCCAACTTGGTGGGATGAAGGAATGTTTCCTTTTAAAGAAATCAAATGGGGGGACTGTAATGGTGGTGTTTACTTACTCATTGATAGGAAATGCAGAAATTTAGTCTTTGAGCTCTGAAATGCTATAGAGACTGCTAGCAAAGCAGTCATATATATTCATATATTCAGCATATCCATTGGTGCATGAGAATTTAATCATAGCAAGGCATGTCTGAATGAGTTTGAATCTGCTGATCGGGAGTGTCTGAATTTTGGTTTGCTGGATGCAAGTGCTGGAGAAAATCCGGCATTGAACGACTGTGATCCTGACAGCTGAACACTGTGAGATCCAAATTCCTCATTCCTTTCCTTTCTTTCGCTTAATGCCACTCACACAGAGAGCTCTCAGCAGAGGGAAACGGCCGTGGATTTGTGTGGAGAAGGCCCTACCAGGAAATCCATGGTGTGAGGAAAACTAAGAATCTGAAAATTTGTAACCATTTTATGGAGAGAGCAAAAGAGGTCCCTTGTGCTTCAAACAGCTGCATAAGTCAGAAACTGAAAGGTGAAGCTATTCCTGGTATGGAGGTGCAATGGTGGGAAAAGCTTCATCTAGGTGCATGTACCTGTGTATATGTATGTGAAAGGCAAGGGGGCAAAGAGGCCATGACCCTGAAGGAGGAAGCCAAGTGGGTAGGGGGGTGGCGGGTGAAGTCATTTCATGGGCATTGTGCTTTGAGTGGCGTATTTCATTTTAAGCACAGTATACAGTAATTACTGCATTGCAGGGGGTTGGAATAAATGAGAACATGAGACTCTAAATCTCACAGTTGTGGGTTGGAGCCCCATGTTGGGCAAAAGATTCCTGCATTGCAGGGGGTTGGACTAGATGACCCCTATGATTCCTTCCAACTCTACAACTCTGTGCTTCTACTTTTTCCGTAGTTGTCTCATTGCTCCTATTGAGACAGAAACTGGAGAGAATGTTAACAGCATTACATTGACTTAGAATAATAGAATTGTAGAGTTGGAAGGGACCCCAGGGTCACCTTACTAGGTGCAATGCAGGAATCTCAACTAAAGCATCCAACCTCTGATTAAAACCCCCCAAGGAAGGAGAGTCCACAGCCTCTCCTTCCTTGAGGGAGATCGTTCAGCTGTTGACCAGAAGGTCTTTCTGATGTTTACTCAGAATCTCCTCTCTTGTAACTTGAAGCCATTAGTTTGAGTCCTACCCTATGAGTCTCCTTCAAGAGATCCTACTCTGCTTTCCTTGTTTTTCAGAAAGGACCCACCGTGGTGTAGGGCATGTGGAGATGTGCTTTGCTCAGGGTTAGATAGAAAGCCCTTTAAAGAAGGAGTCGGAAGCCTTTTTTAGCCCAATGGGCACCTTCCAAAGGGCACCCTCCAAAGGGCTGCATGCCAGCAGTAGGAAAAAAAGGGTGACTCCACTAGGTAACCACTCAAAAGCCAAAGGTTCCTAAACATAAACACCCTCCCCTATTTATTAATGTGATAAGAAGCAGTGTTGTGTAGTGGTTAGAGTATTGGACCAGGATCCAGGAGACCAGGGTTCAAATTCTCCCCCTTGACCATGAAGCTCACTGAGTGACCTTGGACCAGTCCTTGCTTCTCTCAGCCTAACCTACCTCGCATGGTTGTTATGAGGATAAAATGGGGAGGCGGGGAATGGTACAAGCCACCTAGGAGGAAAAAAGTGGGATATAAATGCAATAAATAAATATTATCCATCCAGGCATGATCAGAGCTCAAGGGGACATTCCGGCCAGCCAGAAGCAGGGGAGGGGATGGGCCTGAGGAAGGGCCAAGCCTGGGGAACAATCCTCCAGGCCTGAGCTTCCCCGTGCCTGCTTTTTGAGACAGCTTGGCTACTGGGAAAATGACTTGACCAAAATTTCAGAGAGTCTCTGGTGTTCAGGGTTAAGGCAAATAAATAATGGTCTTTCAAGTGTTGAAAGCATGTTGCCCGTCATAATCTTTAACAGCTTTAACATCTTTAACAGTATAAGTATTATGGGAGAGGGGCCATAGCTCAGTGCTAGAGCACCTGCTTTGCACACAGAAGCTCTCCAGTTCAATCCCTGACAGCTCCAGATGGGGCTGGGAATGTCCTCTGCCTGAAACCCTGGATTTCTATGGGGTTTAAGGCAGGGATTTTCCCTGGATCCTACCTGGAGCTGGCAGAGATTGAACTGCAGTCCTTCCTTCTGCATGCAAAGCAGATGCTCTGCCACTGAACGACTGCCCCATAGGAAAGAAGGATCTGCAAACCATGTCTTTCTTCACAGATTCCTGGTAAGGAAATATGCTTTTGATTTGCTCCCTGGCTAGACTTTGATCAAACTGACTTGTAGGCAGCAATTCTCCATGGCTGTTAGTCACCCATCTGCAAGAAGACAGTCCAGGTTGCTTTCTGGAAAAGGTGCTTGAGCTGACTGCAGTTTCTATAGCTAGGAATCCCTGGAATGATCAGATTTCTCCTGAAAGTCCATCCCTGTGGAATCCAGCCAGCCAGCCAGGGCATGTCCAGGTGGCTCCAATTTCAGGGTCTCAGGCGCTTCTGATCCTTCCTGGCAGATGTGCTGAGCTCTGCAGCCCTGGGTGATTTTTACACTGGGCCACACAGATTGGATCAACAAAGGGTGCAATGGTGGTAATGGGGGTAGACTGCTTGGGGTAAGTGGAGGCAAAATATGCTGGCTTTTCTGTGGTTGTGTGATGCTATAGCACTGAGTTTGGCAATGTGTGGAGCCACTGGATAGCACATGCTTTTCTTCTCCTTGGACATTTTGCCAAAGACGCAGGTATGACTAACTCAAATGCACGTCGGAGCTGCTATTCTAGGTCTGTCTAGCTCAGCAACATGGCAATCAAGGACAGTGGATTATTATCTTAAAGATAGTAAGCTGTGCTGGTTGGGACTTATAGCAGCTGTAGTCCAAAGCATCTGGCAAACAAAAGGCTGCTGTTGTTGACAATACTGAACTGGATGGGCATAAGACAGCTTCCTGCAAGAGACCTTTGGGGACAGAGGGATGGACAACAGACAAAACAAGTTGCAGGAACTGTGGTGATACTTACAGGAGCTGTAGAGAGAAGGAGGCAACTCCCAAGCCTTCTCTTAGGGCTGGCAGGTTTTAGGAGGAAAGATCAGATGCTTTGCTCTAGCCCTAATTCCATTGTTAGGTGACACTCTCAATCTGCAGATCCTTAGTCCCAAAGCAGGGGCTGCATGGATGAAGCTGTGAGTAAGGAACGTTCTACATTTGCCTGTCAAAGCAATGATGGCTGTTAGTGGTTTGAACCCGTTTGGGTGGGGAGATCAAGTGAAAGAGGGGGTCTGGGTCCAAAAGAGGTGGAAATATAGATCTGACCCATGGGTGGGTAATTAACAAAAAAATCAGCTGGGTGTCTAGATTAAAAAATGGGGATTTGCACACTCTTCAGTGGGAGAGAGCCTCCAGATTTAAAAACACTCTCAGAGTTAACAGCAGCCGCATAGTGTGGAATATAGGTTGTTAAACCCTTTTGCATATCCCATTTAGTCTGCCTTAAGATGCTTGCCCCTCCTCTCTACCCCTCTAGCAATAAACAGACCATACACTGTTAAGTAAGTTTAAAATTATTTTCTTACTAAATCCAAAGGTCTGGTTCATCCGTTATTCCATGCAGCAGCAAGGAGCACAAAGATAGATTGGGTTTAAAATACAGCATAAAGTTTCAAACATGCAGTCTGAACTTTGGAGCAAGTTCAGACATGCCCATCCTACTTGGTTACATGAGGAAAGGAAATAGAAGACACTTCACTTCCTCCCTTGTGGGGGTGAGGGGCCATGACCTAGCTGAGTCTAGGAACAGAACTCTGCTGTTAACCCCTTCATGCACTAACTAGCGCTCATGCATAGTTATGTTTGTCTGCAATCTCTCACAACTCTGAACTACGCTCTCTCTAGATTTGGGAAGGTCTGCTTCTGTTTATCATAGCAGGAGCCCAGCAGATCGGACTAGAAGCTCTCATCCTGTCCTCACAGGGACTAAACCAGATCCCACTGGGAAAAAGGAAGCTGTGAGCACAACAGCATTCCCAGCACCTGTGATTTCCAGCAAGTGGGATTCAGAGGCATGTTGCCCCTGTTTCTAGATGTAGTGCATAGCCATTGTGGCTCGTATGCATTGCCAGCTTTATCTTAATAAAAGCAAGCTGGGAAGGGCTGGGCGATGAGCTCTGCGGGGTGGTGAATGCTTCCCTCTGTGAGGGAGCCTTCTCAGACCCACTGAAAGAGGCGAAATTTAAACCGCTTCTTAAAAAAACATCTTTGGACCCGGCCAGTATGGCCAACTATTGCCCAGTCTCAAATCTTCCATTCTTGGGCAAGGTGATTGAGTGGGTGGTTGCTGAACAACTCAAGGCACACCTGGAAGATGCAGACCATTTGGATCCCTTCCAATCCAGATTCAGGCCTCATCATGGGACTGAAACCGCCTTGGTGGTGCTGGTTGATGATCTCTGGCAGGCTAGGGACAAAGGTGAAAGCTGTTTCCTAGTTCTGCTGGATTTCTCAGTGGCCTTTGATACAATTGACCATGACATCCTTCTAGAGGAGCTGGAAGCTGGGGGCACTGTTATACAGTGGTTCTGCTCCTTCCTCCTGGGCTGTGTCCAGAAAGTGGTTTTGGGGGGATGAGTGTTTAGACCCCTGGACTCTCACTTGTGGGGTGCTTCAGGGTTCTGTCCTTCCCCCCTTGCTTTTTAACATCTATATGAAGCCGCTGAAAGAGATCATAAGGGGGTTTGGGCTGGGTGTTCATCAGTATGCGGATGATACCCAGCTCCATCTCTCTTCTAAATCAGAACCAGTGAAGGTGATGAAGGTCCTGTGTGAGTGTCTGGAGGCAGTTGGAAGATGGATGGTGGCTAACAGATTGAGGTTAAATCCTGACAAGACAGAAGTACTGTTTTGGGGGGACAGGGGGTGGACAGGTTTGGGGGATTCCCTGGCTCTGAATGGGGTAACAGTGTCCCTGAAGGACCAGGTGCGCAGCCTGGAAATCATTTTGGACTCACAGCTGTCCATGGAGGCACAGGTCAATTCTGTGTCCAGGGCAGCTGTCTATCTGTCTATCTGGTACACAGGCTGAGACCCTATCTGCCTGCGGACTGTCTCGCCAGAGTGGTGAATGCTCTAGTTATCTCCCACTTGGACTACTGCAATGCACTCTCTTCTACCTTTGAATGTGACCTGGAAACTACAACTAATTCAGAATGTGGCAGCTAGACTGGTGACTGGGAGTGACTGCCGAGATCATATGCCACCGGTCCTGAAATACCTTCATTGGCTCCCACTACGTTTCTGAGCACAATTCAAAGTGTTGGTAAAAGGTAAAGGACCCCTGACAGTTAAGTCCAGTCGTGAATGACTCGCGGGTTGCGGCTCATCTCGCTTTACTGGCTGAGGGAGCTGACGTTTGTCCACAGACAGTTTTTCCGGGTCATGTGGCCAGCATGACTAAGCCACTTCTGGCGAAACCAGAGAAGTGCACGGAAACGCTGTTTACCTTCCAGGTGCGGTACCTATTTATTTACTTGCACTTTGACATGCTTTCGAACTGCTAGGTGGGCAGGAGCAGGGACCGAGCAACGGGAGCTCACCCTGGCACAGGGATTCGAACCACTGACCTTCCAATCGGCAAGCCCTAGGCTCTGGTTTAGACCACAGCACGACCCACGTCCCATAAAGTGTTGGTGCTGACCTTTAAAGCCCTAAACAGGGCCTGTAAGACAGAGTTGTTCCGCCTGGCCTTTTGCTTCGAGTCAATTTGATTCCCTCCCCCTCTTTCTTTTTTCCTTTCACCTCCTGTGATGAGGCTGCATTTTAACGTTTTAATGTTGTATTTTAATCTTGTTTTTAAGTTGTATTCATTCAACTTGTTTTTATTATTGGTTGTTAGCTGCCCTGAGCCCGGCCTTGGCTAGGGAAGGTGAGGTATAAATAAAATTTATTATTATTATTATTATTATTATTATTATTAATATTATTATTATTATTAAATGGCCTCAGCCCGGTATACTTGAAGGAGCATATCCCCCCCCCCCGTTGTTTTGCCTGGACACTGAGGTCCAGCTCCAAGGGCCTTCTGGTGGTTCCCTCACTGCAATAAGTGAAGCTACAGGGAACCAGGCAGAGGGCCTTCTTGGAATGCCCTCCTGTGGAATGTTGTCCTGTGGAATGCTCTCCCAACAGTTGTCAAGGAAATAAACAACTATCTGACTTTTAGAAGACATCTGAGGGCAGCTCTGTTTAGGGAAGTTTTTAATGTTTGATGTTTTGTCACTTTATTATTATTATTAGTAGTAGTATTAGTATTATTATTATTTATTATTATTCTGTTGGGAGCTGCCAAGAGTGGCTGGGAAAACGCAGCCAGATAGGCGGGGTATAATATGATAATAATAAATAATACTAAATAATTATCATAATTATAATAATAATTAATATTATCTTCCATGAATTTATCAATAGGAGCCACCTCCTAGGGGCTTAGGGGGCTTCACTCCCCCAATAAAATATTTGAGCCCCTCCCCCCAAGTTGATAGCTATTGTCATTCAAAAGGTGTGTGTACACTGTGTCATGTGATCACTTACAGAGGGCAGGGCTTATGTACCCCCCCATGGCACCCCTGAATTTGTCTAATCCTCTGTTAAAGCTATCCAGATTGGCAGTCCTCATTACAAGCTCATGAGAAGAAGCCACCCACATACTTGTGATAGTATGACTGATATAGGAAATCAAACACAAAGGATTGTAGCCAAGGAAGTTCTACCTAGAGTAGGCCCAATCTCCATTAATTAATTAATAAATTAACTAACTTACTAACCAACCAACCAACCAACCAACCAACCAATTAACTAACTACCGTATTTTTCGCCCTATAGGACGCACTTTTTCCCCTCCAAAAATGAAGGGGAAATGTGTGTGCGTCCTATGGGGCGAATGCAGGCTTTCGCTGAAGCCTGGAGAGCGAGAGGGGTCGGTGCGTACCGACCCCTCTTGCTCTCCAGGCTTCAGGAAGCTCTGTGCAGCCCTCGGGAGCCCTGCGCGAAGTCGCGCTGGGCTCCCAACTGCTGCGCGGAGGTGCCTGCAGTCCTGGGCTTCGCCCAGCTCCGCGCAGCCCACCAGAGCCCGGCGCGAAGTCGTGCTGGGCTCCCGACTGCTGCGCGGAGCTGCCTGCAGCGCCGGGCTTCGCCCAGCTCCGCGCAATCATCCGGAGCCCGGCGCGAAGTCGCGCTGTGCTCCCGACGGCTGCGCGGAGGTGCCTGCAGTCCCGGGCTTCGCCCAGCTCCGCGCAGCCCTCCAGAGTTGCGCTGGGCTCCTGACGGCTGCGCGGAGGTGCCTGCAGCCCCGGGCTTCGCCCAGCTCCACGCCGCCCTCCGGAGCCCGGCGCGAAGTCGTGCAGGGCTCCCGATGGCTGCTCGGAGGTGACTGCAGCCCCGGGCTTCGCCCAGCTCCGCGAAGCCCTCCGGAGCCCGGCGTGAAGTCGCGCTGGGCTCCCGACTGCTGCGCGGAGCTGCCTGCAGCCCCGGGCTCCGCGCAGCTCCGCGCAGCCATCTGGAGCCCAGCGTGAAGTCACACTGGGCTCCCGACGGCTGCTCGGAGGTGCCTGCAGCCCCGGGCTTCGCCCAGCTCTGTGGAGCCCTCCGGAGCCCTCCTGACGGCTGCGCGGAGCTGCCTGCATTCTGAAGCCTGGGACGCGCTGAAGAGCGCGCCCAGCTTCGCACACCTCTACGCAAGCCTGGGGAGACTGGCGCAAATTCGCGCCGGGCTCCCTAGGCTTGCGGATAGCAGGCTGTTCTGGGGGCTGGGGTCGGGGGAAGCTCGGGCTTCCCCCGCGCCAGCCCCGCGCCTGGGGGGGAAATAATTTTTTTTTCTTTATTTCCCCCCCAAAAAACCTAGGTGTGTCCTATGGGGCGGTGTGCCCTATGGGGCGAAAAATACGGTAACTAACTAACTAACTAACTAACTAACCAACCAACCAACCAACTAACTATTAACTAACTAACCAACCAACCAACCAACCAACCAACCAGCCATCTCCATTAATTTCATTGGGCCAACATTGGCATACAGCACAATATTATTTAATTTTCTTGATATATTTCTTGCACTATAAAGTGTATTCAGTATTCTAAACAGAGCAAAAATAACCTAATATAGATTGCATAGGAAAGTTGCAATATTCCAAAATCCAAAAATCATGCCTGCCCATTTGTTTTAATCTATTTACATTTTTGTACCCCTGCCTTTTCTCAGATAGGGCTGAAAGCAGCATACATAAAGCAAAACATCCCTCCCCCAATTAATAATGAAATCAACAATTTTCAATATATGAAAAGCATAAGAGAAAACTATAGGGTTGTGCACAGATAAGATATTTACCTCCAAACTCACTTTCCTGAGTCAGGTGACAGGGGCAAAAACTTGGATGTCTTCCTCATTTACTGCAAGGTGGAAATCAAGAGAAGCCTTTCATTTTTTGTGTGTATTTTTGCAGAATTGGATGAAATTTTCCAGCACAGCAGTCTGTTCAGAGGGGGCAGAGCCTGCAAAATTTCAGTCAAAGAGATGCATTTTCTTTTTGTACTAAGTACCGTTAAAGTTTGAGTGTTTAAAAGAATGATTTATTGCTCTTCTTTGTGCGCAATTTGCCTGAATGTGACATCCCCCCATCTCCCCCCTCCCCCCCCAAATGTCTCAACAAATGAAACTGATTTGTAAAAATGTTACATGGAAAAAATACGAGAGACATTACACATACTTCTGTAAAACAAGAAAATCTTTAATAAAAAGAAAGAAAGAAAAGAAATCTAGTCAAGTTCCCTGTAAAATTTCAGAAGCATAGAGAAAGGAGTTGGGGGAGGGTGCTATGGGGGAGACCCAATTCTCCCCCATTTTATTTTAGTTATTTTGTTTTCTGCTCAGATTTTTTCTGCCCAACCCGTTTTACCACCGGAGACGAAATGGGAATGTTCTCCCCTGCCTTCCAACTATGCATATTGGTAGGCTGGTTTTGAAGACCTGAATCTACAAAGCCACAGTCTTCCTGTCATTGTTGTGACTGGAAATTGAAAGAGAGACTGGGTCAAGTTGTTCTGTCTGGCAGCTTGAGGAATCAGTAACAGAATTGCACCCATTTCCTCTGCCTCTCTCCCTTCTATCTGCATAGTGCTTTACATTCATGGAGACCTTTTTGGGAGGTTTCAATGCTGGTCTGTGTATCCTTGCATGGAAGCAAATACTTTTGGTGGAGCAGTTTTTAATCTCCACTGAGCTGGGCATTCCAAAGGTGTGGTGCCACCACCAGTATGCCCTCTTTCTGATCAATATCCTATTGGCAAAACCTATTGGTGTTTCGCAACTTTCTGACTAGTTGCAGGACCTTAGCCAGACCTAGCAAAGTAAACGCAGAATCCACGGAAGCAATTGGCAATTTGGCTGCAGACAGGATAGATGAAGCAGGAACCAGGAACTTGTAGTAGGTGTTTATTATATACAGTGGACTATATACAGGAACGGGACGCGGGTGGCGCTGTGGGTAAAACCTCAGTGCCTAGGACTTGCTGATTGTAAGGTTGGCGGTTCAAATCCCCGCGATGGGGTGAGCTCCCGTCGTTCGGTCCCAGCTCCTGCCAACCTAGCAGTTCGAAAGCACCCCTAAGTGCAAGTAGATAAATAGGGACCGCTTTATAGCGGGAAGGTAAACGGCGTTTCCGTGTGCGGCGCTGGTGCTGGCTCGCCAGATGCAGCTTTGTCACACTGGCCACATGACCCGAAAGTGTCTTTGGACAGTGCCGGCTCCTGGCCTCTTGAGCGAGATGAGCGCGCAACCCTAGAGTCGGTCACGACTGGCCCTGACGGGCAGGGGTACCTTTACCTTTATATACAGGAACAAAATATGGATCTTTAGCTTGCTCTCTCATACACGACTCACAACTCCCAACCTCCAACTCCTACACTGATACACAGAACACTGAACTATTCCAGTTAGTAGGCCATTAATTATCACTCCCTTGAGAGAGCTTGACCAATCATGGAGCTGTCTCCATGCCTCTGTATCACCAGGCAGACTTATTCCTTCAGATTGCCTTCTGGCTGTCTGCCAAACCTTAATTGACTCTGTGTGAGTAGCTGCACGTATTCAGATTCCCAACATATCTATTGTACCACAATTGGTAGAGGCACCGGGATCAGAGATCAGCTTTGGGCTTACCCGAGGCAGGCGCAGCCCAACCCGTTTTACCACCGGAGATGAAATGGGAATGTTCTCCCCTGCCTTCCAACCATGCATATTGCTAGGCTGGTTTTGAAGACCTGAATCTACACCAGCCAGAAGCAATCAATCAATTGACGGACTAAACCAACTGACTGACTGATGAAGCTTCCAAATGACAGACGGGAAAGGGTAATGCAGACCCTCCCCCATGCCCTTTCTCCACTAAAAGTGGCAGGTGGGGAATCAGTGGGAGACAGCCCTTTCTTTCTTTCTTTCTTTCTTTCTTTTTTATATCACCTTATACCCATGGATCTCAGGGCAGTTTACAACATAAAATTACAATACAGAAAACACAAAATACATTATAAAAATAAAAGCAGAGACAACCCAATAACCCTCCCCCCTTCTATAACAGTACTGACAGCTTCAAGGGTTTCAAGCAGGAAACCTAGGCTGCTTCTGTCCAGAATGGATCTAGATCTTTGGACAATCCCAGAGATGATCCCTGCACCAGGTGCTTTTTCAATCGGCCAGAGATGGGGCATTTTTGGTGATGGCATTGCATCTTCAGAATGACCATTCCAGGGATTCCTGCTCTACTAATCAGTGGCAGGGGTCAGCAAACTTTTTCAGCAGGGGGCCGGTCCACTGTCCCTCAGACCTTGTGGGGGGCCGGACTATATTTTGGAAAAAAATAATAATGAATGGATTCCTATGCCCCACAAATAACCCAGAGATGCATTTTTTAAAAAAGCACACATTCTACTCATGTAAAAACACCAGGCAGGCCCCACAAATAACCCAGGGATGCATTTAAATAAAAGGATACATTCTACTCATGTAAAAACATGCTGATTCCCAGACCGCCTGCGGGCCAGATTTAGAAGACAATTGGGCCAAATCTGGTTCCCGGGCCTTCGTTTTCCTACCCATGGTGTAGAGCAGCCTTTTCCAAACTGCTGTTCTCCAGATACTGTTCGACTCCAACTCCCATGAGTTCCCACCAACCTGGCCAGTGATCAGGGATATTGGGAGTTGGAGACCAACAATTTATGGAAGACATCAGGTTGGGGAAGGCAGTTGCAGACGAATGGAGCCAATGATCTTACTAATGCAGCTTCTTTTCTCCCTAAGATGGCAACAATTGAAAGTGGCAAGACAGAGGGTCTTCGAGGAATGGTTTACAACATCTCCATTCAATAGCTGAGCTACAGGATCTTTTTATCTAGCAGTATTTTTTTAAGTTCTTACAATTCATAGAGGATATGGCTATCATTGGCTATTAGCCAAGATGGCTCTGCCCTGCCTCTATGTTCAGAGGCAGTAAATGCTTCTGAATGTCAGTTGCTGGAAGCCACAGGAAGGAAGAGGGATCTTGTGCTCAGGTCCTGTTTGTGAGTTTCCTATTGGGGGATCTGGTTGTCCACTGTTGGCCATTGGCCTGATCTAGCAGGTTCCAGTGATGATGGTGATGATGATCATGATGAGGATGAGCATGTTATTATTTCTACCCCCAGTTCTGAATGGGTTGCTCTAGCCACTCTGGGAGGCTTCAAGCATATACGAAAACATTTGTTGTTGTTTAGTCGTTTAGTCATGTCCGACTCTTTGTGACCCCATGGACCAGAGAACGCCAGGCACTCCTGTATCCCACTGCCTCCTGCAGTTTGGTCAAACTCATGTTTGTAGCTTCGAGAACACTATCCAACCATCTCGTTCTCTGTCGTCCTCTTCTCCTTGTGCCCTCCATCTTTCCCAACATCAGGGTCTTTTCCAAGGAGTCTTCTCTTCTCATGAGGTGGCCAAAGAACTGGAGCCTCAGCTTCAGGATCTGTCCTTCCATTGAGCACTCAGGGCTGATTTCCTTAAGAATGGATAGGTTTGATCTTCTTGCAGTCCATGGCACCCACCCTGTGGAACGCCTTTCTTTCAGATATCAAGGAGATAATTAATTATGCAACCTTTAGAAGACATCTGAAGGCAGTCCTGTATACAAAAACATAATTAAACATTAAACATTAAAAACTTCCCTATAGAGGACTGCCTTCAGATGTCTTCTAAAGATTGTATAAGACTTATCTCCTTGATATCTGATAGAAGGGCATTCCACAGGGTGGGTGCCACTACTGAGAAGGTCCTCTGCCTTCTTAGATCATAAAGTGCATGCAGATATGAACCCGTATGCCATGGGTTCACCTTTGGACTTGCAGCAAGTGGAATGGGAACTAGCACCTCGGGACAGGCTCTTCAGCAGAGAGGGCAGCTTGTTTTCTTCGCTCACACCTTGCTGCTCTCTTTGAACACTTTTAGGCTGCTAATGCTGACAGGTGGGTTGAATTGGATATAGCACAAACTGATCCCTATGAGCCAGATGTACTTTCTAATTAGGAAGAAGTGTTTTAGACATTTATCCAACTTTTACAAGAGCTTTCAAAGGTGTGTTTAACCTCTTTTTGTTTGTGTGCAAAACCTTCCTTTAATACCCTTTCAGCTCTAGAAGATGCCTGTGAAAAGAATACCAACTTTTAAAGCCCCTCCTTTCCCGCTAAATACAAATGCCTCTGAACCTCTGAACACCTCTGAATGATTTGAATTGCCTCTTAAAATTCTGCATCTTCTCCCTTACACCCCTTTTAACACAGGAAGTGGTGGTGAGCTGCATACTTTGACTATGCACTGTGTGAAGAAGCAATTCCTGCATTTGCAGGGGCTTGGGCTAGATGACCCTTGGGGTCCGTTCCAACTCTCCCATTCTATAATTCTGTGAGCATGAACACTAGAACTGTGTGAGCTATATTTGTCATAATATCACATAACATCACAATTTTGACGGCATTTAATTATCCTTTCGTTGTGGTTGTGAAGTGTGCAGGATGTTTGGAACTGACTTAAGTATTTTGCAAGACACTTGCTGATTTGGGATGCATGTGGCATTTGTGTGATAGAGCATGAGAGAGAGGCAGAGAATGGTGACCGTTTTGATTCCATTCTTCCTGGGCCCCCTTCCCATGAACCTTGATAAAATCAGGCCTGCTTCTGGATGGACTTTGCCCGGATAAGTCTATAAGGACATATAGAAAATATTTGAGCGGTTCTCAGCTCTAGCTGTCTAGAAAGCAACCAGAGCATGACTTTTTTTAATGAGGCAGTGCAGGGTTGATGCCTTGGCATTCTGTGGAGGGAGGCCCAGTACCTGTACAAATCAAAGGATCCGCGTGAACAGCCTTTAGCTTCATGCAGGAATGGTTCATTGTGTTTCTTGGCCTGTGGGCTTCTCTTGCTCGGTGATTCTGTGACCTCAAGAGCTGGCGCTGATGTTCCTCTTACCCCCAAACTGCTGCTATGCACACAGGTGAGGGACTTGCCTGCAATCAGCACTGCTTGAGGGCTTCTGATTAGAGAGAGAGGCAAATATGCCAATTTTGGTTCCTCAGTTTGGTGAGCCAGTGTGGTGTAGTGGTTAAGAGTGGTAGTCTCGTAATCTGGGGAACCGGGTTCGCGTCTCCGCTCCTCCACATGCAGCTGCTGGGTGACCTTGGGCCAGTCACACTTCTTTGAAGTCTCTCAGCCCCACTCACCTCACAGAGTGTTTGTTGTGGCGGAGGAAGGGAAAGGAGAATGTTAGCCGCTTTGAGACTCCTGAAGGGGAGTGAAAGGCGGGATATCAAATCCAAACTCCTCCTCCTCCTCTTCTTCTTCTTCTTCTTCTTCTTCTTCTTCTTCTTCTTCTGTTTTTCATTTTTCTAGGCATAAGTTCAGTTCTCCACATTTTCACAGCATTTTTAAAAAGTCAATGAAAATTCATCAATTCACATTTCAGATTCTTCTACCTTTTGCTAATGGACATATGCCTGTATGCAATTTTGCCCAAGGTACACCTTTTTTTTTTGCAGAACAATTTCCCCTAATGTTATGGATTTTTGGATGCTGTTATTAGGAATATATGTATATTTATGCACACTTCACCCCTATCTATGCATTTTTGTGCATGTGCCTTGGCTGAATAACATTGCAAAATTCAGAAAAGTATGGATTTTAATAATAATAATAATAAAAAAAATTATTTATATCCCGCCCTCCGCAGCCAAAGCCGGGCTCAGGGCGGCTAACAACAATCAAATAATCAAACAATCAAATAATCCAACATTCTAAAACATTTCATTATAAAAATTAATTAAAATCAAATTAATGGCAACCTTTAAGCAAAATTCTGTGCAGGTTGCCAGAGGAGGGAGCCAGGCTGGGCCCTGACTAAAGGCCTGGTGGAACAACTCTGTCTTGCAGGCCTTGCGGAAAGATGTCAGGTCCCGCAGGGCCCTAGTCTCTTGTGACAGAGCGTTCCACCAGATTGGAGCCGCAGCCGAGAAAGCCCTGGCTCTAGTTGAGGCCAGCCTAACCTCTCTGAGGCCTGGGACTTTCAGGATGTTTTTATTTGCAGACCGTAGGTTCCTCTGTGGGGCATACCAGGAGAGGCGGTCCTGTAGGTACGAGGGTCCTAGGCCGTATAGGGCTTTAAAGGTTAAAACCAGCACCTTAAACCTGATCCTGTACTCCACCGGGAGCCAGTGCAGCTGGTATAGTATTGGATGAATGTGATCTCGCAGCGAAGACCTCATAAGGAGTCTCGCTGCGGCATTCTGCACCCGCTGGAGTTTCTGGGTCAGTCTCAAGGGCAGCCCCACATAGAGCGAGTTACAATAATCCAGTCTGGAGGTGATCGTCGCGTGGATCACAGTGGCTAGGTCAGGGTGAGAGAGATAAGGGGCCAACTGCTTAGCTTGGCGGAGATGAAAAAATGCTGCCTTTGTTATAGCTGTAATCTGCGCCTCCATAGAGAGGGAGGTATCGAAGATTACACCCAAACTCTTAACGGACGGTGCTGGCACTAATTGCACCCCGCAAGAGATGGGAGTTGCCCCCTCAATCCCATATCGTCCCGTCCCAGCCAGAGGACCTCTGTCTTCGAAGGATTTAACTTCAACCGGCTTCCATGTAACCATCCAGCCACAGCTTCCAAACATCTGGTCAGTGTGTCTGGGGCCGAGTCAGGATGGCCATCCATCAACAGACAGAGTTGGGTGTCATCGGCATACTGATGGCAACCCAGCCCAAAACTCTGGACAAGCTGGGCGAGGGGGCACATAAAGATGTTAAAAAGCATCGGGGAGAGTATAGCACCCTGAGGCACTCCACACACCAAGGAGTGGCGCGATGACAATTCCCCCCCAAGCGCCACCCTCTGTCCCTGACCAGAGAGAAACGAGCGCAGCCATTGAAGGACTGTGCCCTGGATCCCCACGTCGGCAAGGCAGTGGTCCAGGAGTTCGTGATCGACCATGTCGAAGGCTGCTGACAGGTCTAGAAGAATCAGCAGCCCCGACCCGCTTCGATCCAGCTGCCTGTGGAGATCATCTGTTAGGGCAACCAGAGCCGTCTCGGTCCCATGACCAGTGCGGAAGCCGGACTGGAATGGATCCAGAGCCGATGTTTCATCCAGAAACCTACCAAGCTGTTCAGCAACCGCTCTCTCAATCACCTTACCCAGGAATGGAAGATTCGAAACCGGGCAGTAATTGGATAGATCTAAGGGATCTAATGATGTTTTCTTTAAGAGCGGGCGCACCACTGCCTCCTTCAATTCCCCTGGAAATATCCCGATGCCAAGGGACAAATTGATGATTGTCGGCAGATTGATTTATTGCTCAGATAAGCCTGAGGTCCGGCACACTTCTGCTGCGCAGGCCTCTGCATTCCAAAGTCCACATTCCGATGCTCTGAGCGTAGCATAGCAGAGATCGACAGCGGCAAGAGAAAGACCGCAAAAACTCCAGTGCATTCTTCAGTGTGCTTAAATAAAGTCCACTCAGGATCTTAGCAGCTAAAAACAGTTTTATTTACAGCAGACTATCCGTTATCTATCACAGCGAACAGCATCGTGAAAACACGTCCTCTCTCCTCAAAAGCGAAAGTAGAGAGAAAGAACAAAGGCTTGAGGTTCTCGGAAAAGACGCAGAATTTCCCCCCTCCTCTCAACAGTAGGCAGGGCGTACACTCTGAGCTGTTTAACCCTGTAAGCTCAGGTTCTCGCACCTCGTCTGGACACGCTCTAATCAGCCAAGACGGGCACGGGTCAAGAGGACAGGTGGTGGGCTTTCCAGCTCGGAGGAGTCTGTCCACATCGGCTGGGGATATCCGGTCAAAGTGGTCCAATACTGGACCCGAGGACAGTCAAGGGGCCTCCAGTTCCTTTATTGTATCCAAATTGGCAGGGAGGTCATGGCGGAGCAACAGGACCTTCTCCGCAAAAAAGCTCGCAAATGCCTCACAGCTGTGTGTCAGATTGTTATTTAAATTTGGTTGTCCTTCAAGGAACGTTAAAGACCTAATTATACTAAATAATTGCGCCGGGCGAGAGCTAGCGGATGCAATGGAGGCCGAGAAGTAAGACTTCTTAGCGGCCTTCACTGCCATCTCATAGGTTTTCATAAAAACCCTATAAGATGTTCTTGAGGCTCCGTCACGGGCACCCCGCCAAACTCGCTCTAGCCGTCTGAGGTCCCGCTTCATTTTCTGAAGCTCCTCGGTAAACCAGGGAGCCCGGTTTCTTTGGAGTCGCAGAGGGCGCTTAGGTGCAATCTCATCTATGGCTGCCAGGAGCTGGATATTCCAGCCCTCAACAAGCTCAGTCAATGAGTCGCCAGGGGGAGCAAGGTCCCGCAAGGCTTGACGGAATCTATCAGGGTCCATCAGCCTCTGCGGGCGAGCCCAAATCGGCTCGCCACCTAAGCAGGGTGGGGGTGGAAAGTCAATCCTGGCTTTCAGAGCGTAGTGATCAGACCATGGCACCTTAATTGAAGGAGACATGATCACATCTATACCTACGCCAAAGATCAAATCCAGCGTGTGGCCTGCTTGATGTGTGGGGCCTGAAACAAACTGGGAGAGCCCTAGTGTCGCCATGGAAGACACCAGGTCCAGAGCCTATGAGGAGGGAGTGGCATCAGCATGGATGCTGAAGTCCCCCAATACCAATAGGTTAGGGAACTCCAAGGCCCAGCCGGTCACCGC